AAGATTTTAATAGAAAAATCAGCCGAGGGCCAGATTAAAGGTCTTTGGAGGGGCGGATCTGGCCCCCGGGCCGTATGTTTGACACCTGTGTTCTAGACTATTCCACAGATGAACACCTCTGACGGAGACGCATCGACTTTTCAGGCTGCTCCTCACGTGAGCTTTCTGAAAGAGGCTCGATCCTCTCAGATTATACTCACTCTCTCTGGGTTTGAACATCTCTTGGATTCTCTGAGGGAGCAGATTATTCTGTGCCTTAAACATGACAGTTGCAGTATTTAGATGAACGAAATCATGTCATTTTAATGTATTTAATTTAATAAAGAGAGCATTTGTTGGGGCGTAGGAATCAGCAAAGTTGGGGCAAAGTAAGTAAGAGTAAGAGTTAAAGAAAGAAAAGAAGAACTTTGGACCACTGCAAACTGTTTAGAATGAACTAGTTATGTTTTTTTTACATTTTTAAGTCAAAATCTGGTACTTGAATCCAAAATATATGGATCTGTACCTCATTCTTTCACCCCAGCGTAAAGAATAAAGTATAGATCCATTTATTTTGCACAAAGCAATCTGTCTCAAAATGGAAAAGTTCTTATTTTCTATTTTTTTGAGGATTTGAGTTGCACAGCCGCTGCCCTCTGCCTGAACTTTTACCATCAAATCCCAAGACATATTATGATTCAGTATCTGATTTTTACTGTCTCAAAAACCTGAAAAACAGAACTGGATCATTTGAAACAGTCTGCAGTCGTCCAAAGTTCTTCCTCACTTTCCTTTTGCATTCAGAACATCCTAATTATCCACCAACAAAGAGTTTATAAGAACCTTTGAGCAAACCAGAGCAGAGTTTACCCATCACGACTTGAGGAGATTCTCAAACAATATATCTGTGCTGGGCCAAGATACATTTTGCTTCATCTCCGTGGAGAAAACCAGGCTGAGTTTCAAGACAGATGGAGACCCCCCTCCCCTCACCGTAAAACTGCATCTTTCCGATGTATTTTTGAAGAAATAAAAACACTGCAGTGGAATAAAAATTGTAGAAACTGTCTTCCTTCTGACCTCCTGTGTATATCTGAGAGTTTCTGTTACTTATTGATTTATTTTCTACTTTATTTTGACTTGTAAATATACAGAGTGTTGTAGTCAAGAGCGCACTAATCGAGACCAAGACCTGTCTGAGACTACAGGGTCCAGAGACCAGGATAAGACCAAGACCTCTGAGAGTCGAGACCAAGACAAGACCAAGACCACAGGGTCCAGAGACCAGGATAAGACCAAGACCTCTGAGGGTCGAGACCAAGACAAGACCAAGACCACAGGGTCCAGAGACCAGGATAAGACAAGACCTCTGAGATCGAGACCAAGACAAGACCAAGACCACAGGTCTGAGACCAGGATAAGACCAAGACCTCTGAGAGTCCAGACCAAGACAAGACCAAGACCACAGGGTCCTGAGACCAGGATAAGACCAAGACCTCTGAGGGTCGAGACCAAGACAAGACCACAGGGTCCAGAGACCAGGATAAGACCAAGACCTCTGAGAGTCGAGACCAAGACAAGACCAAGACCACAGGGTCCTGAGACCAGGATAAGACCAAGACCTCTGAGAGTCGAGACCAAGACAAGACCAAGACCACAGGGTCCTGAGACCAGGATAAGACCAAGACCTCTGAGAGTCGAGACCAAGACAAGACCAAGACCACAGGGTCCTGAGACCAGGATAAGACCAAGACCTCTGAGAGTCGAGACCAAGACAAGACCAAGACCACAGGGTCCTGAGACCAGGATAAGACCAAGACCTCTGAGAGTCGAGACCAAGACAAGACCAAGACCACAGGGTCCAGAGACCAGGATAAGACCAAGACCTCTGAGAGTCGAGACCGAAACAAGACAGAGACTTTTAAAGACCGAGACCAGGACAAGACCAAGACCTCTGAGAGTTGAGACCGAGACAAGACCAAGACCACAGGGTCCTGAGACCAGGATAAGACCAAGACCTCTGAGAGTCGAGACCAAGACAAGAGAGACCAGAACAAGACCAAGACCTCTGAGACAGAGACAAGACCTTTTAAAGACCGAGACCAAGACCAAGACCTCTGAGAGACCAAGACTCCGAGACCAGACAAGACCAAGACCTCTGAGAGTCGAGACCAAGACAAGACTGAACTTTTAAAGACCGAGACTGAGACAAGACCAAGACCTCTGAGTGTCGAGACCAAGACAAGACCAAGACCACAGGGTCCCGAGACCAGGATAAGACCAAGACCTCTGAGAGTCGAGACCAAGACAAGACTGAGACTTTTAAAGACCGAGACTGAGACAAGACCAAGACCTCTGAGGGTTGAGACCGAGACAAGACCAAGACCTCTGAGAGTTGAGACCGAGACAAGACCAAGACCACAGGGTCCCGAGACCAGGATAAGACCAAGACCTCTGAGAGTCGAGACCAAGACAAGACTGAGACTTTTAAAGACCGAGACTGACAGGACAAGACCAAGACCTCTGAGGGTCGAGACCAAGACAAGACTGAGACTTTTAAAGACCGAGACCAGGACAAGACCAAGACCTCTGAGAGTCGAGACCGAAACAAGACTGAGACTTTTAAAGACCGAGACCAGGACAAGACCAAGACCTCTGAGTGTCGAGACCAAGACAAGACTGAGACTTTTAAAGACCAAGACCAGGACAAGATGTTGACTTAAGTTTCCTCAAAGTAATGTATAAAGTGCAGTGTATTACCTGTAAATGTTCAAAGACCTTTTGCGACGAGAACAAGCCACTACAATTTAAAAGGAACCTACATGTTTAAAAAAAAAAAAAACAGATTCAGAACCAAGATTATGGGGCGAAGCATCACTGTGAAATGAGTTAACTTATCGAATAGTCTTGACAAAGAAATAAAAGAATCAAGAACAATGATGACATTTAAAAAAAAACATATCAAATCGAATGCAATGTGTATGTATGAAAAAGAAAACTAAGTTGTTGTGCATAATAGTGAAGATTTGTGTTTGTAATTAATAAATGTGAAATGTACTGATTTGAAATGTTTTAAAGTAAATATTGGTGTTGATGTTTTGTCTTGAAAAGGGAAAATGGGGCAGAGAACATAAGATTTCTCCTTCTGCTCATTTTCATTCATTTCTTGTATGTTTGATGTTGTGACACTGTTGATGTCTTTTTATTTATGAATGAAATAAATAAACAATTAAAAAAAAAAAAAAAAAGATCGAGACCACTGCCCTTCAAGACCAATTCAAGACCATCTTTGTAAAATGCAAATAAATGTTGAAAATTACAGTTATTTTGGCTCATGTAAATCAATGTATTTACAAATCTGTCACCATTTTATGACTCGTCAAGTGTCAGACCTCGAAACCAAGACAAGACCGAGTCCAAGCGCCTTCAAGACCGAGACAAGACCGAGTCCAAGTGCCTTCAAGACCGAGACAAGACCGAGTCCAAGCGCCTTCAAGACTGAGACAAGACCGAGTCCAAGCGCCTTCAAGACTGAGACAAGACCGAGTCCAAGCGCCTTCAAGACTGAGACAAGACCGAGTCCAAGCGCCTTCAAGACCGAGACAAGACCGAGTCCAAGCGCCTTCAAGACTGAGACAAGACCGAGTCCGAGCGCCTTCAAGACCGAGAAAAGATCGAGTCCGAGCGCCTTCAAGACCGAGAAAAGATCGAGTCCAAGTGCCTTCAAGACTGAGACAAGACCGAGTCCAAGTGCCTTCAAGACCGAGACAAGACCGAGTCCAAGTGCCTTCAAGACCGAGACAAGACCGAGTTCCAAGTGCCTTCAAGACCGAGACAAGACCGAGTCCAAGTGCCTTCAAGACCGAGACAAGACCGAGTCCAAGTGCCTTCAAGACTGAGACAAGACCGAGTCCAAGTGCCTTCAAGACCGAGACAAGACCGAGTCCGAGCACGTTCAAGACCGAGACAAGACCGAGTCCAACCGCCTTCAAGACCGAGAAAAGATCGAGTCCAAGCGCCTTCAAGACCGAGAAAAGATCGAGTCCAAGCGCCTTCAAGACCGAGACAAGACCGAGTCCAAGCGCCTTCAAGACCGAGAAAAAGATCGAGTCCAAGCGCCTTCAAGACCGAGACAAGACCGAGTCCAAGCGCCTTCAAGACCGAGAAAAGACCGAGTCCAAGCGCCTTCAAGACCGAGAAAAGACCGAGTCCAAGCGCCTTCAAGACCGAGAAAAGACCGAGTCCAAGCGCCTTCAAGACCGAGAAAAGATCGAGTCCAAGCGCCTTCAAGACCGAGACAAGACCGAGTCCAAGCGCCTTCAAGACCGAGAAAAGACCGAGTCCAAGCGCCTTCAAGACCGAGAAAAGACCGAGTCCAAGCGCCTTCAAGACCGAGACAAGACCGAGTATAACCACATTCCTAGTTTAGTCCTGGTTTAGTCTTGATTTAGTTCTAGTTTAGATTTAAATTAGTCCTGGTTTAGTCCTAGTTTAGTCCTGGTTTAGTCATGGTTTATTACTAATTTATACCTGGTTTAGGCTTGGGATAATTCTAATTTAGTCCTAGTTTAGACCTGGTTGAGTCCTGGTTTAGTTCTAGTTTAGACTTAGATTAGTCCTGGGTTAGTCCAGGTTAAGTTCTAGTTTAGGCCTGGTCTAGTCCTGGATTAGTCCTAGTTTAGACCTGGTTGAGTCCTGGTTTGTGGATCAATAAAGTATAAACCAGTGAAACCTGAAATAAATTAATCAATCAGTCAAGTCTATACTGTGAAACATTCCAAACTGGCAATTAAAATCTCCATGGAAACAAGCAAATAAAATAAAAATAAAAAAATCCTGACCCTGCACCTGTACGTTAAACCCGTGGGACATAAACACAGATAAACACCTGCGTCTATAGGCTCGGGGACGGCCTCTTCTGATTGGCCGAGGGGGACGTATGGGGGCGCGCTCCGATTGGCCGAGAGCCGGGGGTCCCGGGTTTAAAAGGGGGTCCGGTCCGACAGCCGAGCATCGTCACAATGGCCTTCCTGTGGATCGTCTCCTGCCTCGCCTTCGTCAGCGCCGCCTACGGTGAGAGAACGGAACTGCACACACACGGACACGGTCTAGTCCTGGGTCAGACCTGGTTTAGTCCTGGATTAGATCTACTCTAGACCTGGTTTAGTTCTAGTTTAGACCTGGTTTAGTCCTGGGTTAGTTCTAGTTTAGGCCTGGGTTACACATGGGGGAGTTCTACTTAAGACCTGGTTTAGGCCTGGCTGAGTTCTGCTCTAGACCTGGTTTAGTTCTAGTTTAGACCTGGTTTAGTTCTGGGTTAGTTCTAGTGTAGGCCCAGTTTAATCCAGGGTTAGACATGGGTGAGTTCTAGTTTAGACCTGGTTTAGTCCTGGGTTAGTTCTAGTTTAGGCCTGGTTTAGTTCTAGTTTAGTTCTAATTTAGTTCTGGGTTAGTCCTGTTTTAGTTGTAGTTTAGGCCTGGTTTAGTTCTGGGTTAGTTTTAGTTTAGGCCTGGTTTAATTCTGGGTTAGTTCTAGTCCTGGTGTAGTCCTGGTTTAGTTTTAATTTAGTCCTGGGTTAGTTCTACTCTCGATCTGGTTTAGTCCTGGTTTAATTGTAGTTTAGGCTTGATTTAGTCCTGGGTTAGACATGGGTGAGTTCTACTCAAGGCCTGGTTTAGTCCTGAGCTAGTTCTCCATTTAATCTTGGTTTAGATTTGGTTTAGTGCTGGTTAAATTCTAGTTTAGTCCTGGTTTAATCCTGGTTTAGTCCAGGTTTAGTTCTTTTTTGTGGCGTGTTCCTGGTCTGCAGTGGTCAGTGTCTGTCAGATGCACTTCAACTCTAGTTTAGTCCTGGTTTAGAGGTGACTTAGTCCTAGGTTAGACCTGGTTTAGTCACAAATTGGTTTGTGACCATTTTAGTCCTGGTTTAGACTTGGGTTAGACTTGGTTTAGAACTGGTTTAGCTCTGGTTTAGTCTTGGTGTGGATCTAGTTTAGTCCTGGTTTAGAAGCCAACTTAGTCCTGTTAGTTAGTCCTGGTTTAGTCCTAGTTTAGTCCTGGTTTAGTTCTGGTTTGTGATCAATTTAGTCCTGCTTTAGACTTGAGTTAGATCTGGTTTAGTCTTGGGTTAGTTCTAGTTTAGACCTTGTTTAGTCCTAGTTTAATTCTGGTTTAATTCTAACTTAGTCCTGTTAGTTAGACCTAGTTTAGTCCTGGTTTGTGACCAATTTATTTCTGGTTTAGACCTGGGTTAGACTTGATTTAGAACTGGTTTAGTCCTGGGTTAGTTGTAGTTTAGTCCTAGTTTAGTCCTGGTTTAGTTCTGCGTCCAAACATGAGCAGACTTTTCTTTGTTGTGTGTTTTTAGTGGGATCAGAGGCTCCTCGTGTATTTAAAGTCAAACTCACGTCGCTTTTTTGACTGACAATGAGGTTTTTTTTTTGTGAGGACTGTGGACTTGACTATGGCCCAAACGCTCTGAATATTTCAACAGCGGATTCCGTGGAGATTTGAGAGAACATAAATCCATATTTTAGCTCGAGGCTGTGAACCGTAAACACCGCCACAAAACTTTCACATTTTCCTCCAAACAGAAATTCTATTACCACAAACCTGCACAATGTAATGTTCATATCAGCAGCTTGAGATCCGTCTATTTAATTGTCATATTTACCATCTGTAGAATATTTTTAGACCGTAAAACCAACAAAGACAAAACATATTTTATAGATTTTATAGAAAGATGTTTACAGCCTGTTTACACGAGAACACTTCAGGGTAAAAACGACAAAATATTTTATCAGAAGTGCCTTTTGTTTAGACGGTGATGGTGTTTTGAGGCTTAAAAAAACGCAAAAATCGACCACAACACCATGGATCATGACAGAAAGGGCCAAAGCTGAAGCAAAAGTACCAAACCCGATTAAAAAACGACAGAATTTCACGAAAGAAAGCAGCGTAGGAACAACAACTTCACTTATGACTCATTGTACATATAAGAGACAAAACAAAAATTAAAACAAACTAAATTTAATGCGTAATTCATTCATTCCAGAGCTTTATATCTTTCAAAACTTAACGCTTTATTAACACTCTTTTTTTAAACTCTTTTACAGTGTTGGACTTTTTAAAATCATAAACTAAACCCTCAAAACAGAAATACAATCACTTTTTAAAGATGCCAATTCTGATTAGTTTTTTTGTTTTGTTTTGTTTTTCGTTTATGGTCGTACAAACTAATAATAACGTTAACGAAGGCACAAAAGTTTATCGTTTATGATCGTACAAAATAAACCGGCAATGAATAATAAACTTACAGGAGGCTCCCAGCAAATGTAGAGAATCTGCAGAGACACTATTAGTGAACAGAGGAGGATCTGCAATCACCTCCGTCAGATTCCGGACGCACCAGGTCGTCGCAGTCGAGTCAGACGGATCTGGACGAGACCTGGAGAATCAGCCGATGGTGGGACGACTTTGCGGAAGGAGTAGGTGATGAAAATGCGCCGCGTGAAAGCTTCCGTATGTGCAAAGACGCTCTTGTCGCTTTAATTCCACACACTTTTGCGTCACCGTGTGCACGCAGATTTCCACCCCGAAAACACTTGTCTAAACGTAGAATAAAAAGTGAAGACTCGAGGCCACTTTTGCGTCTTCTGTTCAGACCGTCCTCGTAAAAACGTAGACTTACACACAGTATTGCAATCATAACAGAGTCTAAACCTGCAAACAGAGACACATCCAAGTTTGTGTCTTTCTCAGTTTATGTTCAGGCCTCACGTGAAGCTCAGAACCTCCAGAAATCCCCCTTGAGATGCAGAGGCCGCACTAGCACTGACTCAGGACTGTCTGCAGGAGTTGGGGTTTTGGGAGTGATTGTTCAGATCAGAGAGAGGCATTTTAGTTAAAACAGTTTTATCATAATCACAGTTTTGGGTTAAAGTCTGTGTTTGTGTGTCCAGGCTGCGGTGTCCCCGAAATCCCCCCCGAGGTGACCGGCTACGCCCGCATCGTCAACGGAGAGGAGGCCGTGCCCCACTCCTGGCCCTGGCAGGTGTCTCTCCAGGTCAGACTCAAACGCTTCGTCTCATAAAACACTTTTACTGTCGACTTCAGTGTGTTTAAGACAGAAACTTAAGTCTAAATCTGTGTCTGTGTCTCAGCAATCCAACGGCTTCCACTTCTGCGGAGGTTCCCTCATCAACGAGAACTGGGTCCTGACCGCCGCCCACTGCAACGTCAGGTCAGAAGTCTAAAGCAGGACTAAACCAAAGCTAAACCAGGACTGAACTAAGACTGAACCAGGACTAAAGCAGGACTAAAGCAGGACTAAACCAGGACTGAAAGGACTGAAACAGGACTAAACAGAGGACTAAAGCAGGACTAAAGCAGGACTGAACCAGGACTAAAGCAGGACTAAACCAGGACTGAACAGGACTAAAGGAGACTAAAGCAGGACTGAACCAGGACTAAAGCAGGACTGAACCAAGGACTAAGCAGGACTGAAACAGACTGAACCAGGACTGAACAAGGACTGAACTAAGGCTGAACCAGGACTGAACTAGGACCGAACCAGGACTGAACCAGGACTAAAGCAGGACTAAACAGGACTGAACAGGACTAAAGCAGGACTAAAAGGACTGAACCAGGACTAAAGCAGGACTAAAGGACTAAAGCAGGACTGAAACAGGACTGAACAGGACTAAGGGACTAAAGGACTGAAACAGGACTAAAACCAGGACCAGAGGACTGAAACAGGGCTAAACCAGAACTGATCCAGGACTAAACAAGGACTAAATGGGACTAAACCAGGACTAAACGAGATCTAAACAAGGGCTAAACTAGAACTGAACCAGGACTAAAACCAGGACTAAAGCAAGTTTGAACCAATTGAAAAGAAACAATGATGGAAAATTTGACCTCTGGTGAATCATTGATCTATATTCTAAGTAGGTTTACAATATTTATCCCAAAGAACCAATAATTTCCCAACCACATCAGTCTGTCCCAGGGCGTCTGTGGCTGAGTCTAGTCTTTATAATGTACTGCAGGATTTACACATCTATAAAATCTATTTATAATATCTATAAAGTCTTTTTTTCCATGTCTGTTCCTGTTTCCGTTGATCAGAACTTACCACTACGTGATTCTTGGAGAGCACGATAAGGGCTACGGCTCCAACGAGGTCGTGCAGAAGATCAAGCCCGCCAGAGTAAGACTCCACAACCTCAACAAATGCACTCAGAGAACACACAGTATGCACAACAGACTTATTTGAGATTTCAATCACGATATAACGTTATTCTCTCATCAAAAACATAACTGGGGCTGTGTTTCGCGTTAATCATTCTCGACGTTTAAATAGTTTAGAATGTCGTTAATTCCAGCAGACGGCGACATAACTCCAGAACGCAGTGTTTGAGCATCTTAAAGCGAGACTAAACACCTAAACTTCGCCCACAAACACATTTCAGACACAACTTCTCAGCTGACAGGGGACGAGAGGCTGTAATCTGGGCAGTCCTGCGTGATGTCACATAGTACTTGAGATTGCAGAGCCCACGGGAGGCAGCATGTGCTTAGATTCAGACGCTTCTGACCACCACAAAACTGAAAATTGATCTAGTTTGCGTTAAAGATGCTAAAAAGTGACTAAGACATGACTATAGATCAGTGTTTCCCAAACTTTTTTTTATGGGGACCCATATTTTAAAAGTCACAAACAACCCAATCCCATAGATATTATTCATAAATCACAAAATAAAGTTGTATTTGCACATTATTGACCATTAATAAAGATATTTTATTGTTGATTGAGTGATCATGTCTCTGAACAATTAGTATGACTGACTCACTGAAGCAGCAATAAAATGATCCGTAAGTCGCCTATTTGGACTTTAAATGTAGCCCTTTTCTTTTTCTTTTCAACAATCAATTGAACCAAGAAAAGTGGAACAAAATAGTCAATAAAATAATTACAAAAAGATTAGGAATTATAGAAAACATGTCTTAACATTTCAACACGTGTCAGAACTGTATATTGCAGTTCTACATGCAGATCGTGCGTAGCCTGATTCATCAGCCGGTTTCATTTTGTAGAAACCGTCTGACCTCGCAGCATTAGGATTCGTTCGCTCGACGGTGGGCGGGTACTTTTTTTAATTTAATCAATCGCTGCTATTTGGTCGTGACGTATGTAATGCCCCACTAACAGGTCTAACTGGTTTATAAAGCTTTTCCCAAATCCCATAGGAAGACAGTAACTTTCTCTTTAATCCATCTTTAAATCCTCAATCTCGGGAATCGTTGCCAACACAAAATGTATGGCTCATCTGATTGGTTGGTGCCCGGATTCGCACTTCTGGGGTTCTTGCAAACCGTCTAGTGTATTCCGAGTCCTGACCCAGTCGCTGGAGAGAAATGGCTAGATCATGACAAGGCGACCCAAAAAAATGTCTTGCAACCCACCTGAGAGTCGCGACCCAGTCTTTGGGAAACCGATATCGATGTTAATACTTTGACTTTAAGTATTTACAGATACCCGATGCTGAGCAATGCCAATGTAGGGACTGAAAATGACTTTTTTTTTCTTAGTTAACACTTCTTCTTACACGAGAGATCCAGAGATTGTGTTATGTAACTGTTCTTTATGCTTCAAATTACAACTGAACAGATTTGCATGAATAAAACTCACACATTATGAGACGCTCAAGGAAAAAGCTGCTGAAAAAATCAATGATCACCAACCAGGATGTCAAATCGTAAACAAGTGATGTATAATATTTGTGGTCTGTCTCCCAAAGGTGTTCACTCACCCCAACTGGAACCCCCGCACCATCAACAATGACATCACCCTGATCAAGCTGTCCACCCCCGCGCGCATGGGCAAGGCCGTGTCCCCCGTGTGCGTCGCTGAGTCCAGTGACGTCTACAACGCCGGCACGACCTGTGTGACCTCCGGATGGGGCCTGACCCGCTACAACGGTGAGACCAAGAGCACAACCAGGACTAAACCAGGACTAGAGCAGGACTGAACCAGGACTAGAGCAGGACTGAACCAGGACTAGAGCAGGATGCACTAGACCAGGAATAAAGCAGGACTGAACCAGAGCTGACCCAAGACTGTACCAGGTCTAAACTATGACTAAAGCAGGACTAAGCAGGACTGAACAAGGACTAAGCAGGACTGAACAAGGACTGAACCTGGACCAAAGCAGGGCTAAACCAGACCAGTGTGCACTTCTCTAATATGTTTATGATGCTTTCTGCGTTTTGCCTCAGGAGAGTCAAAAGAGCCAGGGCTAAATAAACAAGAACTACTTAAAAACAACATTTTGCAAATGAAGTTTATTCTGAAAGATAATTTTACAGAAACATGAACTTTGATGTGTGTGTTGTAGCTCCCAGCACCCCCAACAAGCTGCAGCAGGCCGCTCTGCCTCTTCTGTCCAACGATCAGTGCAAGAGACACTGGGGCAACCAAATCAGCGACGTGATGATCTGCGCTGGAGGAGCTGGAGCCACCTCCTGCATGGTAAACATAATATACTATGCTCTACTATATAGGGATGTACCAAAAACTGAAATATCGTGATATCATATCGTCAAAAGCCTCACAATAGCATCACGGACCATTACAATATATTGAATTACAATTGAACTCCTCCCAGCTCTGAGTTTTTTCGTCTGCAACCGCCAATACCCGTCAGCTGCCTCAGGACTCCCATGAGCCACCAAGGCCTGACAGGACTCCTTCTTCAGCCTGACGGCATCCCTTACTTCCGGTGTCCACCACCGGGTTCGGAGATTGCCACTGCGACAGGCACCACAGACAAATAATGAAAAAAAAAATATTTTTTTTTTGTTTTCTTATTTTTGGTTTTATCTTGAAAAACAAATGAATGAATGACACACAGATTACAATGGTCTATACTATAATTTTTATATTATTTACTGGAGCTAGAGCCACTTCCTGCCTCATTACACACTTCACCTTTAAAATACCAAGATCTGTTGAAGTTCTCGTCACACTTTTGTATATTTCTTTGTGTGAAACCAGAAGTCTGAACGTGTTGTGTGTGTTTCAGGGTGACTCTGGTGGCCCTCTGGTCTGTGAGAAGGACAACGCCTGGACCCTGGTGGGTATCGTGTCCTGGGGCAGCAGCAGATGCTCCACCTCCACCCCCGCCGTCTACGCCCGCGTCACCAAGTTCAGTACCTGGGTGGACCAGACTATGGCCGCCAACTAAACCTGGAACCAGACCTGGACCAGACCAGCTCCAGAAGAGTGAGCTGCAACACCTGAGCCACGACGACCGAAGGAACTCAATAAAGTTTCAATAAGATCAAATTTCACTCTTGTATTTGTCCTTATTTGTTTTTTAAAGCGGGGGTATCACTCAGAATCAACTTTCTGGTGCTTTCTACCATGTTGCATGTTTGAGTAATTTAGTGATCTCTCCTTGGCTCTCTTCAAACCCTCCTTGGATTCTGTACGAGGCTCCGCCCACAAGTCTACATCAGTCACACTCCCACACAATAATTCTCCACAAATATACAAAAACATTATACAAAACTGTACACAACAACTTCAAATCTGGCGTGATGTGTTGTAGCTTCACTATGTGAGATGTAGCGCTCCGAAGGTGGGGTGACTTAGAACAGAGAGCAAAAATATCTAAATATATCATAAGATCTAAATATGTTATGTATTAGCAGTTAATACCACATAGAATTAAAATACCTCCTCTTTAAGCAGTGTTAAAAGCTTTGGGAGTCCTTTATTTATTCCATTTTTGATTGAAATGTTACACAGTAGAACTTTAATTGGCAAAAGTCCATTAAAGATGCTGTACCTGATTTTCACGGTCAAAAAACAAAAAGTCAGAGTTGTCCCTCTCTCTCTCAGGTCCAAGATTAGTCCTGGTTTAGACCTGGTTTAGACCTGGTTTAGTCCTGGTTTAGACCTGGTTTAGACCTGGTTTAAACCTGGTTTAGTCCTGGTTTAGACCTGGTTTAGTCCTGGTTTAGACCTGGTTTAGAACTGGTTTAAACCTGTTTTAGTCCTGGTTTAGTCCTGGTTTAGACCTGGTTTAGTCCTGGTTTAGCCCTGGTTTAGTCCTGGTTTAGTCCTGGTTTAGTCTTGGTTTAGACCCGGTTTAAACCCAGTTTAGACCTGGTTTAGTCCTGGTTTAGTCCTGGTTTAGTCTTGGTTTAGACCCGGTTTAAACCCAGTTTAGACCTGGTTTAGACCTGGTTTAGTCCTGGTTTAGACCCAGTTTAGACTCAGTTTAATCCTGGTTTAGTCTTGGTTTAGACCTGGTTTAGACCTGGTTCATCCTGATTTAGACCTGGTTTAGTCCTGGGTTAGTTCTACACTAAACCTGGTTTATTTTTTTTTTTTTATTAAATTAGACAAATTATAACACACAAATTCATCAGCAATTTATAAAAGAAAAAAAAATCTTATTGCAAACAGAGCCCAAAGAAAATCATTATCCGTAAATGTTTCCAAACGTTTTCCGGTTTTGTGACGTAAACGAGAGCCTGTAAATATTTTGTGATTTGTGAGCTGCTGTGTCCAAATCATTTCACTTGTGGATCAGTAAAGATTGTTTAAGTCTAAATCTAAGTCAGGATGTACCAGTGAAATCTGAAATAAATAAATAGTCAAGTCTATACTGTGAAATATTCTCAAATCTCCATGGAAACAAGCAAATAAAATAATTTTAGTTTAGTTCTAGTTTAGACTTGGATTAGTTCTAGTTTAGACCTGGTTTAGTTTGAGTTTAGACCTGGTTTAGTTCGGGGTTTAGACCTGGTTTAGTTCTAGTTTAGACCTGGTTTAGTTTGAGTTTAGACCTGGTTTAGTTCGAGTTTAGGTCTGGGTTAGGACTGGTTTAGTTCTAGTTTAGACCTGGTTTAGGCCTGGTTTAGTTCTAATTTAGACCTGGTGTAGTTCTAGTTTAGACCTGGTTTAGTTTGAGTTTAGACCTGGTTTAGATCTAATTTAGACCTGTTTTAGTTCTAGTTTTGACCTGGTTTAGTTTGAGTTTAGACCTGGTTTAGTTTGAGTTTAGACCTGGTTTAGTTTGAGTTTAGACCTGGTTTAGTTTGAGTTTAGACCTGGTTTAGTTCGAGTTTAGACCTGGTTTAGGCCTGGTTTAGTTCTAATTTAGACCTGGTTTAGTTCTAGTTTAGACCTGGTTTAGGCCTGGTTTAGTTCTAATTTAGACCTGGTGTAGTTCTAGTTTAGACCTGGTTTAGTTTGAGTTTAGACCTGGTTTAGTTTGAGTTTAGACCTGGTTTAGTTTGAGTTTAGACCTGGTTTAGTTCTAGTTTAGACTTGGTTTAGTTCTAGTTTAGACCTGGTTTTAGTTCTAGTTTAGACCTGGTTTAGTTCTGGTTTAGTCTTGGTTTAGACCCGGTTTAGACCCAGTTTAGACCTGGTTTAGACCTGGTTTAGTCCTGGTTTAAACCCAGTTTAGACTCAGTTTAATCCTGGTTTAGTCTTGGTTTAGACCTGGTTTAGACCTGGTTCATCCTTATTTAGACCTGGTTTAGTCCTGGGTTAGTTCTACACTAAACCTGGTTTATTTTATTTTTTTTATTAAATTAGACAAATTATAACACACAAATTCATCAGCAATTTATAAAAGAAAAAAAAAAAAATCTTATTGCAAACAGAGCCCAAAGAAAATCATTATCCGTAAATGTTTCCAAACGTTTTCCGGTTTTGTGACGTAAACGAGAGCCTGTAAATATTTTGTGATTTGTGAGCTGCTGTGTCCAAATCATTTCACTTGTGGATCAGTAAAGATTGTTTAAGTCTAAATCTACGTCAGGATGTACCAGTGAAATCTGAAATAAATAAATAGTCAAGTCTATACTGTGAAATATTCTCAAATCTCCATGGAAACAAGCAAATAAAATAATTTTAGTTTAGTTCTAGTTTAGACTTGGATTAGTTCTAGTTTAGACCTGGTTTAGTTTGAGTTTAGACCTGGTTTAGTTCGGGTTTAGACCTGGTTTAGTTCGAGTTTAGACCTGGTTTAGTTTGAGTTTAGACCTGGTTTAGTTCGAGTTTAGGTCTGGGTTAGGACTGGTTTAGTTCTAGTTTAGACCTGGTTTAGTTCTAATTTAGATCTGGTGTAGTTCTAGTTTAGACCTGGTTTAGTTTTAGTTTAGGCCTGGTTTAGATCTAATTTAGACCTGTTTTAGTTCTAGTTTTGACCTGGTTTAGTTTGAGTTTAGACCTGGTTTAGTTTGAGTTTAGACCTGGTTTAGTTTGAGTTTAGACCTGGTTTAGTTCGAGTTTAGACCTGGTTTAGGCCTGGTTTAGTTCTAATTTAGACCTGGTGTAGTTCTAGTTTAGACTCTGGTTTAGGCCTGGTTTAGTTCTAATTTAGACCTGGTGTAGTTCTAGTTTAGACCTGGTTTAGTTTGAGTTTAGACCTGGTTTAGTTTGAGTTTAGACCTGGTTTAGTTTGAGTTTAGACCTGGTTTAGTTCTAGTTTAGACCTGGTTTAGTTCTAGTTTAGACTTGGTTTAGTTCTAGTTTAGACCTGGTTTAGTTTCTAGTTTAGACCTGGTTTAGTTCTAGTTTAGACCTGTGTGGCACTTGTACAATGCTACAATAAGGATTAGAACAGATAGGAAGTGTAGTAGTACTAGTAGTAATAGTAGCAACAGGCTGGTTCAGAAGACCAGGGTTCGACTCGTAGGGACCTGGGGTGTTTAATGACACATCCACACAGGCTTGTAGTGCTTAGTTGTTATTTACAGTGTACAAACAGACATTATTTACAACATTTACAGATGTGCACTTTCATATGACTGAGTTCAGAGTCAATGATCGTCAAGTTCAACGCGTCACAGTTCTTAGTCTTAGTTCTTAGCGCAGATGAGCCGCAACAAAAGTTCATATAATTCACACGGGGTCGCGAAAAAAGGCACAAAAGAGAGTTCCAGGGATTGTTGTGGTAAGAACGGGTAATTCCCAGCAAAGTCAATAAGGGCCCAGTGACCACAGCAGGGGGGCAGTGGGTATGTGTGTGTGTGTGTGTGGTTGAGCGGCTGCTACGCCCCTTACCGCACCGGCAGATACTTGCACTCTGAGTTTGGTTCGGGCTCTAGGCCTCAACTCGCCGTCCAGTTTCTGGAACTTGATCTGTAGAAAACAGGACCAGCAGTGAGTAATACAATAACCAAGTACAACTAAGTCACTATAAAACATTTTTCAACATCATAACATTTTGTTTTAATATCATATCAACTGGTTCGCCTGTATTCAGCCTCACATTTTACTATGTCCAGTTTTATGTATTTTAGCATGTTAGTGTGTGTTTAAGTCTTTTATTTAGTAAGTAAGTCTTTATTTATATAGCGCTTTTCACAGACATTTTTTGTCCCCAAAGACGCTTTACAGACCATTATTCAGCATTATTCATTCACTCTATACCTGGTGATGGTAAACTACTATTGTAGCCACAGCTGCCCTGGGGCAGACTGACAGAAGCACGGCTGCCATGCCACTCAGCGCCATCGGTCCCTCCGACCACCAACATCACTCACACACACACCACTTTCATACCAGGCAATGTGGGTGAAGTGTCTTGCCTAAGGACACAATGATTGAATTGATTGTATTTAACTGATCTTGACCATCAACTGTTTTATGGAGACCTGGAGCAAGTTTTGGGTTGATGGGGGAAAACCGGAGCACCCGGAGGAAACCCATCCAGACACGGGGAGAAACATGCAAACTCCACACAGAAAGGATCGAGCGACCCGGGGATCGAACCCAGAACCCAGAACCCAGTGTGTAAGTGTGTGTGCGTGTTTGTGCATATGTGAGTGTGTGTGTGTCTGGGTTGTTTGGTTGTGTGGGGGTTGGGTGGATGGAAATATGGGATTGTTTTTAATCACTGTAAAGCACTTTGTGTTACAATTTTGTATGAAAAGCGCTTTATAAATAAAGTTTGATTTGATTTGATATCATATATATTGTTATAAAGTCATATTCATAATATTCATCCATGTACATGTGCAAGTTTTTGTCAATATCAAGAGAACTCTATAGTAAAATATTCCCCATCAACAATAGGCAATAAGTCATTCTTAAATTAACAATTTAGCAGGGTCATATCATAATCATAAATTGTTGTCAATATTAGTACAAAACTGTGAATAAAGTGCACTGATCAAAATACATATGGTCTTTAACAGCGGTCATATAAATGAATGGGACTGAGTGTCCCTCCCGACAGCACGCGCATTAGCATTAGCATTAGCATTAGCATTAGCTCCGAACGACAACAAACAAAGTTAGCATCACCAGTTCCACTTAGTTAAATCTTTTGGGATCATGACAACACTTCGTCATGAAGGCAAGAGGCATCTAGAGAGGCTGATGACATAACAGTTACTTTAAAATACTTTTAGACCGAAAACAGTAAGTTTTTAAAACAATAATCGCCGACCTGCAGCAGCTCAGTCACACCCTGACGTCCACCGCTCAGTCTCGCGAGACTTCAGAACAACCGTGGTCAAAATATCAGGTAGAGACCAGAGGGCCAGGGACAGAAAAACACCTGGGTTACACCTGGTTTAGGCCTTGGTTAGTTCTAATTTAGACCTGGTTTAGTTCTAGTTTAGACCTGGATTAGTTCTAGTTTAGACCTGGTTTAGGCCCTGGTTTAGTTCTAATTTAGACCTGGTTTAGTTCTAGTTTAGACCTGGATTAGTTCTAGTTTAGACCTGGTTTAGTTCTAGTTTAGATCTGGTTTAGTTCTAGTTTAGACCTGGTTTAGTTCTAGTTTAGACCTGGTTTAGTTCTAGTTTAGATCTGGTTTAGTTCTAGTTTAGACCTGGTTTAGATCTAGTTTAGACCTGGTTTAGGCCTTGGTTAGTTCTAATTTAGACCTGGTTTAGTTCTAGTTTAGACCTGGATTAGTTCTAGTTTAGATCTGGTTTAGTTCTAGTTTAGACCTGGTTTAGTTCTAGTTTAGACCTGGTTTAGGCCTGGGTTAATTCTAAATTAGACCTGGTTTAGTTCTAGTTTAGGTCTGGGTTAGGACTGGTTTAGTTCTAGTTTGGCCCTGGTTTAGTTCTAGTTTAGACCTGGATTAGTTCTAGTTTAGATCTGGTTTAGTTCTAGTTTGGCCCTGGTTTAGATCTAGTTTAGACCTGGTTTAGGCCTTGGTTAGTTATAATTTAGACTTGGTTTAGTTCTGGTTTAGACCTGGATTAGTTCTAGTTTAGACCTGGTTTAGTTCTAGTTTAGACCTGGTTTAGTTCTAGTTTAGACCTGGTTTAGTTCTAGTTTAGACCTGGTTTAGTTCTAGTTTAGATCTGGTTTAGTTCTAGTTTAGACCTGGTTTAGATCTAGTTTAGACCTGGTTTAGGCCTTGGTTAGTTCTAATTTAGACCTGGTTTAGTTCTAGTTTAGACCTGGATTAGTTCTAGTTTAGATCTGGTTTAGTTCTAGTTTAGACCTGGTTTAGGTCTAGTTTAGACCTGGTTTAGGCCTTGGTTAGTTATAATTTAGACTTGGTTTAGTTCTGGTTTAGACCTGGATTAGTTCTAGTTTAGACCTGGTTTAGTTCTAGTTTAGACCTGGTTTAGTTCTAGTTTAGACCTGGTTTAGTCCTGGTTTGTGGCTCAATAAAGTATATACCAGTGAAATCTGAAATCAATCAATCAATCAAGTCTATACTGTGAAACCTTCTCAAATCTCCATGGAAACAAGCAAATAAAATAAATAAACTCCTGAAGTCCTCAAACGTAAACACGCTCATGTTAAAGATGCAGCGTTGGCGTGACCCTGCACCTGTACGTTAAACCCGTGGGACATAAACACAGATAAACACCTGCGTCTATAGGCTCGGGGACGGCCTCTTCTGATTGGCCGAGGGGGACGTATGGCGGAGCGCTCCGATTGGCCGAGAGCCGGGGGTCCCGGGTTTAAAAGGGGGTCCGGTCCGACAGCCGAGCATCGTCACAATGGCCTTCCTGTGGATCGTCTCCTGCCTCGCCTTCGTCAGCGCCGCCTACGGTGAGAGAACGGAACTGCACACACACGGACACGGTCTAGTCCTGGGTCAGACCTGGTTTAGTCCTGGATTAGTTCTAGTTTGGTCCTGGACTAGTTCTAGTTTAGACCTGGGTTAGTTCTAGTTTAGGCCTGGTTTAGTCCTGGGTTAGTACTGGGTTAGTACTGGGTTAGTCCTGGGTTAGCTCTAATTTAGACCTAGTTTAGGCCTGGGTTAGTTCTACTCTAGACCTGGTTTAGGTCTTGTTTAGACCTGATTTAGTCCTTCTCTTAATTATAGTTTAGACCTGGATTAGTCATGAGATAGTTTTAGTTTAGGCCTGGTTTAGACCTGTTTTAGTCCTGGGTTAGTTCTAATTTAGACCTGATTTAGTCCTGGTCTTAATTCTGGTTTAGACCTGGTTTAGTCCTGGGTTAGTTCTACTTTAGACCTGGTTGAGTCCTCGGTATGTTCTACTCTAGGCCTGGTTTAGTCCTGAGTTAGTTCTAATTTAGTCCAGGGTTAGTTTTACTTAAGACCTGGTTTAGTCCTGAGTTAGTTCTAGTTTAGACCTGGTTTAATCCTGGGGTAGGTCTAATTTAGACCTGATTTAGTCCTGAATTAGTTCTAGTTTAGACCTGATTTAGTCCTGGGTTAATTCTAGTTTAGACCTGGTTTAGTTCTAGTTTAGGCCTGGTTTAGTCCTGGGTTAGTTCTAATTTAGACCTGATTTAGTCCTGGTTTTAATTCTAGTTTAGGCCTGTTTGAGTCCTGGTTTAGTTGCAGTTTAGGCTTGGTTTAGTCCTGGATTAGTTCTAGGTTAGGCCTGGTTGAGTCCTGGGTTAATTCTAGTTAGACCTGGTTTAGTCCTGGATTTGTTCTAGTTTAGGCCTGGTTTAGTCCTATGTTAGTTCTAGTGTAGACCTGGTTTAGTTCTGGGTTAGTTCTAGTTTAGTCCTGGGTTAATTTTTCTCTGGACCTGGTTTAGTCCTGGATTTGTTCTAGTTTAGGCCTGGTTTAGTCCTACGTTAGTTCTAGTTTAGACCTGGGTTAGTTCTAGTTTAGTCCTGGTTTAGTCCTAGTTTAGTCCTGGTTTAGTTCTGGTTTGTGACCAGTTTAGTCCTGCTTTAGATTTGAGTGATTGTTCAGATCAGAGAGAGGCATTTTAGTTAAAACAGTTTTATCATAATCACAGTTTTGGGTTAAAGTCTGTGTTTGTGTGTCCAGGCTGCGGTGTCCCCGAAATCCCCCCCGAGGTGACCGGCTACGCCCGCATCGTCAACGGAGAGGAGGCCGTGCCCCACTCCTGGCCCTGGCAGGTGTCTCTCCAGGTCAGACTCAAACGCTTCGTCTCATAAAACACTTGTACTGTCGACTTCAGTGTGTTTAAGACAGAAACTTAAGTCTAAATCTGTGTCTGTGTCTCAGCAATCCAACGGCTTCCACTTCTGCGGAGGTTCCCTCATCAACGAGAACTGGGTCCTGACCGCCGCCCACTGCAACGTCAGGTCAGACACGGGATTATTACACATTTTACAAAGAAAATGAACTGAAAAATAAATGTGCTTAACCAAGACTGAACTAGAATTAAACCTGAACTGAACCAAAGCTAAACCAGGACTGAACCAGGACTAAAGCAGTAGAGAACTAGGTCTAATCCAGGACTAAACCAGGACTGAACCAGAATTAAACCAGGACTGAACAAGGACCAAAACAGGACTAAACCAGGACTGAACTAAGGCTAAACCAGGACTAAACCAGGACTGAACCAGGACTGAACCAGGACTGAACCAGGACTAAACCAGGACTAACCAAACTAACCCAGGCCTAAACCAGGACTAAACCAGGACTGAACCAGGACTGAACCAGGACTAAAGCAGGACTAAACCAAGACTAACCCAGGCCTAAACCAGGACTGAACCAGGACTGAACTAAGGTTAAACCAGGACTGAACCAGTACTGAATTAGGACTAAACCAGGACTGAACCAGGCCTGAACCAGGCCTAAACCAGGACTGAACCATGGACTAAACCAGGATTAAAGCAGGACTAAACCAGGACTGAACCAGGACTAAAGCAGGATTAAAGCAGGACTAAAACAGGACTAAACCAGGACTAAAGCAGGACTAAAGCAGGATTAAAGCAGGACTAAAACAGGACTAAACCAGGACTAAAGCATTATTAAAGCAGGACTAAAACAGGACTAAACCAGGACTGAACCAGGACTAAAGCAGGATTAAAGCAGGACTAAAACAGGACTAAACCAGGACTGAACCAGGACTAAAGCAGGATTAAAGCAGGACTAAAACAGGACTAAACCAGGACTAAAGCATTATTAAAGCAGGACTAAAACAGGACTAAACCAGGACTGAACCAGGACTAAAGCAGGATTAAAGCAGGACTAAAACAGGACTAAACCAGGACTGAACCAGGACTAAAGCAGGACTGACCCAGGCCTGAACCACTAATGAACCAGAACTGAAAAAGGAATGAACCAGGACTAAACCAGGACTGAACCAGGACTGAACCAAGACTAAACAAAGATTATATGTGCGATAAACCAGAACTAAAGCTAAAATCTAAACCAACTGAAAAACAAAGATAGAAAATTTGACCTCTGGTGAATCATTGATCTATATTGTAAGTGTTTCCAATATTTATCCCAGAGAACCAATAAGACTCTAATTTTTATAATGTACGGCAGGATTTACACATCTATAAAATCTGTTTCTCACGTTTTTTCCATGTCTGTTAAATGTGTTCCTGACTCTCGTGTGTTTCTGTTGATCAGAACTTACCACTACGTGATTCTTGGAGAGCACGATAAGGGCTACGGCTCCAACGAGGTCGTGCAGAAGATCAAGCCCGCCAGAGTAAGACAAATATACCGAGAGAACACACAATATTTTAATCATGATATAAGACTGTGCCCTCATCAAAAACGTAACTGGAGCTGTGTTTTGCTTCATTCTTGGCGTTTAAATCGTTCAGTATGTGTCATTAATTCCAGCAGATGGCGACATAACCCCAAACCCCGGTACTGGAGCGGATCTTTGAGCGCGTTTGAGCGTCTTTAAGCGAGACTAAACGCCTAAACTCCGTCTACAGACACATTTCAGCCAGAACTGCTCAGCTGAAAGGGCTCAGCTGAAAGGGCAGGAGGGGCTGTAATCTGGGCAGCTCTGCGTGATGTCACATAGTACTTGAGATTGCAGAGGCCACAGGAGGCAGCACGTACTTAGGTTCTGATGCTGCAGCTGAAAATCGATCTAGTTTTGTCACGTGGAAACAAAGGGAGGACCCAAAATGCACGACTGCTTTAGTTGTTTAACGTAACAAAACCAAAAAAAGAGAAGAAACCAAATCCAAAAAGAGTCCAAAAATAGAATAGAGGTGTGAATGATGAAATTTGTGCATATAATTAATTACCGATGCGCGCAGCATTTATGACTAAAGGCTAATAGCGGTACTTTACTTACTCTCACGCTCTCTCTTTCTCTCACTTTTTTCTCTTCACTAGTTTGACAGCGGCTGAAAACGAAACTTTCAGAAATCTGCGTGTGCATAGGATAAAAAAAAGAAAAAAGAAAAAGTGCATGTTTGGCTGTAGTTCAGCATAAAATGAATAAACCAGGACTAATCTTGGGCTTGAAGAGAGGGAGAGAAATAGAGACAGAGTCCTGACACTCAGTCCTGGTTCACTTCTGGTTTAGTCCTGTTTTACACATGGTTTAGATCCGTTTTAGTCCTGGTTTAGTCCTTTTTCAGTCCTGGTTTAGACCTGGTTCAGTTCTGGTTTAGTCCTGCTTGTAACAAAACAGTCTGAAGAGCCGCTTGGGAGCCGATAGAGGCAGCTGTTTTTAGTGAGCTGAGCCAAAAGAGCCGTTTCTCTAAAAAGAACTGGAATCCCCATCACTAGTGTGTAGAATGTGATGCAAAAATGCCATTAGTCCGACCTACTGTCTGTAAATATGACGTAAAGAGGCAGAATAACAATAAATATTGCTTAAATAAACCCAATTTAAAATCCACTAGAGCCAAACAAACAAACAATTCAAATTTACAGTGAATTTTTACATCACTAAATATATTGGCGATTATATCGGCTATCGGCAGCTCCAACTCCCATTTTATCAGCATCATATCGGCCGCAACAAAATCCATATCGGTCGAGCCCTAAATAAAACTCACACATTATGAGACGCTCAAGGAAGAAAGCTCCTGAAAAAAATCAATGATCACCAACCAGGATGTTAAATCTTAAACAAATAATGCATAATATTTGTGGTCTGTCTCCCAAAGGTGTTCACTCACCCCAACTGGAACCCCCGCACCATCAACAACGACATCACCCTGATCAAGCTGTCCACCCCCGCGCGCATGGGCAAGACCGTGTCCCCCGTGTGTGTGGCCGAGTCCAGCGACGTCTACAACCCCGGCATGACCTGCGTGACCTCCGGATGGGGCCTGACCCGCTACAACGGTGAGACCAAGAGCAGAACAAAGACTAAAGCAGGACTAGAGCAGGACTGAACCAGGACTAAACCAGTACCAAACCAGACCAGTGTGCACTTCTCTGATATCTTACCTCAGGGGAGTCACATGAGCCAGGGCTAAATAAACCAGGATGACTTAAAAACTACATTTTCTGACAGATAATTTTACAGAAACATGAATTTGTGAATGTGTGTGTTGTAGCTCCCAGCACCCCCAACAAGCTGCAGCAGGCCTCTCTGCCTCTTCTGTCCAACGATCAGTGCAAGAGACACTGGGGCAACCAAATCAGCGACGTGATGATCTGCGCTGGAGCCGCTGGAGCCTCCTCCTGCATGGTAAATATGATATAATACTATATACTATACTATACTATAAACTATATACTGGAGCTGGAGCCTCCTCCTGCATGGTAAACACAATATACTATGTTGTACTATATAGGGATGTACCAATAACTGAAAAATTGTGATATCATATCATCAAAAGCCTCACAGTACCATCATGCACCATCAATATATTGAATTACAAGTGTCTTTGCTTAATTCATTGTTATGGTGCAGCATCAGCAAAAAAAACAAACAAAAAAACAGAGGGAACTACATAGACCATGATCCTTTGCTTCATTTCAGCACAGACAGCATGAAGAAATTATGTTATAAAGAGTTTTAAATCTTAGTACTTTGGATTAAGTCTTGTCAAGGTATTTTAACTATAAATATCGCACCGTGACATGCATACTATGAAAATATCGTATCGAGGGATTTGGATATCGTTACATCCCCAATACTGTACTATACTATACTCTACTGTACTCTACTATATTATACTATAGTATAATATACTATATATTATATATTATTTTAATATATATTTATTATTATATATTATTATATATTATACTATAGTATAATATAGTATAATACATTATACTATATTATACTATAGTATAATATACTATAGTATAATATAATATATTATACTAGTATATTATAACATATATAATATATTATACTATAGTATAATATACTATAGTATAATATACTATAGTATATATACTATATTATACTATATTATATATATAGTATACTATATTATACTATGTTATAATATATTATACAATAGTATATTGTATTACACAGGAGCTGGAGCCTCCTCCTGCATGATCAACACAATATAAAACTACACAGTCTGTACCAGTGTTTCCCAAACTTTTACATGACTTAAACTGCGATGCCGAACTGAACCAGAACTAAACCAAGGACTGAACCAGGACTAAACCAAGGACTGAACCAGGACTAAACCAAGGACTGAACCAGGACTAAACCAAGACTGAACCAGAACTAAACCAAGGACTGAACCAGGACTAAACCAAGGACTGAACCAGGACTAAACCAAGGACTGAACCAGGACTAAACCAAGGATGAACCAGAACTAAACCAAGGACTGAGACCGGAACTGAGACCGGGAACAGGACCAGGACTGAGACGGGGACTGAGACCGGAACTGAGACCGGGAACAGGACCAGGACTGAGACGGGGACTGAGACCGAGACCAGACCAGGACTGAGATCGGGATTGAGACCGGAACTGAGACTGGAACTGAGACAGGGACCAGACCGGGACCAAAACTGAGACTGAGACCGGGACCAGACCAGGACTGAAACCGGCACCAGACTGGGACCAGACAGTGATTGAGACAGGGACTGAGATCAGGACCAGACCAGTTTAGTCCTAGTTCAGTTCTGGTTCAGTCCAGGTTAAGTCCGTACGTGGCATCACAGTTTAAGTCACGTAAACAGGAAATGTCCGTTATCTTTTTCTTTTTTCTTTTTTTTTTTCCAATTTTTCATTTAAACACAAAATTGAAAACTGAAAAAATTAATCATTATCTGTTTTTTCATTTTGGTTTTGGAGACAAATAATGAAAAAAAAATTTTTTTTTTCGTTTTCTTATTTTTGGTTTTATCTTGAAAAACAAATGAACAAATGACACACAGATTACAATGGTCTGTACTATAATTTTTATATTATTTACTGGAGCTGGAGCCACTTCCTGCCTCATTACACACTTCACCTTTAAAATACCAAGATCTGTTGAAGTTCTCGTCACACTTTTGTATATTTCTTTGTGTGAAACCAGAAGTCTGAACGTGTTGTGTGTGTTTCAGGGTGACTCTGGTGGCCCTCTGGTCTGTGAGAAGGACAACGCCTGGACCCTGGTGGGTATCGTGTCCTGGGGCAGCAGCAGATGCTCCACCTCCACCCCCGGAGTTTACGCCCGCGTCACCAAGCTCAGGTCCTGGGTGGACCAGACTCTGGCCTCCAACTAAACCTGGAACCAGACCTGGACCAGACCTGAACCAGACCAGATCCAGAAGAGTGAGCTACAACACCTGAGCCACGACGACCGAAGGAACTCAATAAAGTTTCAATAAGATCAAATTTCACTCTTGTATTTGTCCTTAATTGTTTTTTAAAGCGGGGGTATCACTCAGAATCAACTTTCTGGAGCTTTTTACCATGTCTGAGTAATTTAGTGATCTCTCATTGGCCCTATTCAAACTTAGATTCTGTATGAGGCTCCGCCCACAAGTCTACATCACACAATAATTCTCCACAAATATACAAAAAAAAAAAAAGATACAAAACTGAACATTACAACTTCACAAATCTGACGTGATGTGTTGTAACTTCAGTGTGTGTTACGTTGTGCTCTGAAGGTGGGGTGACTTAGCACAGGGAGCAGAAATATACCATTCAAAACATTAAAAGGTAACATGTTAAGAGCTTTGGGTGGTTTATTTATTCCACTAAGAGGCAGTTTAGGGGGTCTTTTTTTGACTGAAATGTTACACAGTAGAGCTTTAATTGATAAAAGTTCATTAAGGGTGCTGTACCTGAACTTGTTTGTTTAAAACAGTGCACGCGTGTATGAGTGAACTAGGACTAAAACAAGACTGATCCAGAACTGAACCAGGACTCCGGGCCCCACAGGGCGACGTGCAGCGGACACCCTGCTCCACGGGCTTGAGGTTCTCCCTCTATCAAGTCCAAGATTAGTCCTGGTTTAGACCTGGTTTAGACCTGGTTTAGTCCTGATTTAGTCCTGGTTTAGACTTGGTTTAGACCTGGTCTAGTCCTAGTTTAGACCTGGTTTAAATCTGGTTTAGTCTTGGTTCAGTCTTGGTTTAGACTTGGTTTAGACCTGGTTTTGTCCTGATTTAGTCCTGGTTTAGACCTGGGATCAGTCCTCCTGGTTTAGTTCTGATTTAGTTCTGGTTTAGTCCTGGTTTAGACCTGGTTTAGACCTGATTTAGTCCTGATTTAGTCCTGGTTTAGTCCTGATTTAGTCCTGGTTTAGTCCTGATTTAGTCCTGATTTAGTCCTGGTTTAGTCCTGGTTTAGACCTAATTCAGCAGTGTTTCTTCTGCTCAGTTTATTAAAGCCTGTGAAGTGATGACATATTTTTGACAGTCAAGTCGCGTCTGAAGAAAGCATAATCGTAAATTTTTTATTTTGTGATTATAATTCTTGACGTCGTAACTTTTCAATTGGTATTCTGATAGATAAAATACACACAATATGAATATTCTAGAGTCATTCGAGAGTTTACGAATATTCATTTTACGCTCAACTACAGAAAAATATGCACAGACTTCTAGATGAATATTTCTGAAAGCGTTTTTACTCCATAGCAGTGGTCCAAAGTTCTTCCTCACTCTTTTCTCAGTCCAGGGGCCTCATTTATAAAAACTGCGCAGGAGTTGTCGTACGTTAGTGCGTACGTCTGTAGCTACGACAGGCGTGCGCCGCAAACTCCATATTTAGAAAACCCACCGCACGCACCAAACCTGCAATCTTTGCTTTATAAATCCCACCTGCAACTACAATTTGCGCACGTAAACCTACGTCACGTTAGAGGTAAGATCTTAAGACCGAGCCCAAGCCCGACCCGAATTTCGGGTCAATCATTACTTCGGGTCGGGTCGGGCTCGGGCTTCAAATAAATATATGTTTATAAAATGTATGCTAAAACGATGTGTGGATACTAAACTAAGGAATACTTGTTATAAAATAAATAATATGGATAAAACAGAGAAGTAATGTAATGTAATTGCTATTTAACTACTAAGCAGGATCTGCAGAGCCAGAGCTCTGCGCACGTGAACGCCTCCTCTTCATTTAATAATCTTCCCCTCCGCAAGTCTGCATCTATTTTGACCTGGTGTCCCCAATATGGAGGAGCAAGAAGTTAAACTAAAGGCAGGAGAACTGAAAAGACAACACACGCACCGGTAAGAGTGAGGTGTGGAAAAGCTTCAAATTGATTGTTGAAAATGCTACAGAAACTTGCGTTGGCTTCGCTGAATGTCGTCAATGTGGCGCTTTGCTTTCATACGAGAGCAAAAAGACTGGCACCTCGACGCTGAGCACTGCTCCTCCTCCCGAGTCACAAATAAAATATGACATTTCGGGTTTGCTTCGGGCTCGGGCCTGCAAATCAAGTTAATTGGTCGGGTCGGGCTGGATTTTTTAGGCCCGATCTCACCTCTACGTCACGCCCTCTCCACACCTCCACCTCACCATAACAGGAGCATGTAAAGTGACTCGTGAATGAGATTTCCCTAAACATGAGCCGATAATCAGTGGGTTTGACCGAGACACGCGGGACAGAGGGAGGAGGACGCTCCACGCAGCACCACGTGATCACGACAAAGACTTTATTAAAGACTTTATTAAACCTTGTTTAATAAATAAATACAAAACTAAACGTGACAACAATGACTCATCTGTTCATTTAATCATATTTTATAATATTTAGGCAGAACATTTTTGCAGTAAAGCCCATGTGTTTTTTTGCTGTTTCAAGAGTTTTATCGCTATATTTTTAAGTCTGTCTATGATACGTGCACGCGCTGATCTGAATGGTCAAATTATGAGCGCGTGCGAGAGATTCAGATGCCCTCCCCTGGAGAGGGAAAGGAGCGAGGGAAGGACACGAGGACACGAGGACACAGATTTAGCACGAAACACATCAGATACAGATGTTATTCTGCCAATTAAAGTCCACATGAAACATCCAAACTGCTGAACCTGTGAGTGTGAGTCTGGGTCTGTGGGTGTGGGTCTGGGTCTGTGGTGTGGGTCTGGGTCTGTGGGTGTGAGTCTGTGAGTGTGGGTGAGTGTGGGTCTGTGAGTGTGGGTCTGTGAGTGTGGGTCTGTCTGTGAGTGTGGGTCTGGGTCTGTGAGTGTGGGTCTGGGTCTGTGAGTGTGGGTCTGGGTCTGTGAGTGTGGGTCTGTGAGTGTGGGTCTGTGAGTGTGGGTCTGGGTCTGTGGTGTGGGTCTGGGTCTGTGGGTGTGGGTCTGGGTCTGTGGGTGTGGGTCTGGGGTCTGTGGGTGTGAGTCTGTGAGTGTGGGTCTGTGAGTGTGGGTCTGGGTCTGTGAGGGTGGGTCTGTGAGTGTGGTCTGGGTCTGTGAGTCTGTGAGTGTGGGTCTGGGTCTGTGAGTGTGGGTCTGTGAGTGTGGGTCTGTGGTCTGTGAGTGTGGGTCTGTGAGTGTGGGTCTGTGAGTGTGGGTCTGTGAGTGTGGGTCTGGGTCTGTTAGTGTGGTCTGGGTCTGTGAGTGTGGGTCTGTTAGGTGTGGGTCTGGGTCTGTGAGTGTGGGTCTGGGTCTGTGAGGGTGGGTCTGGGTCTGTGAGTGTGGGTCTGGGTCTGTGAGGTGGGTCTGGGTCTGTGAGGGTGGGTCTGGGTCTGTGAGTGTGGGTCTGTGAGTGTGGGTCTGGGTCTGTGAGTGTGGGTCTGGGTCGGGACGGGCTCGGGCATTATTCTGTTCTTCATACAGTCAGAGAGCAGCTCTCATGTGCTCAGTTCCCCATTACACAAAAATGTAGGGAAGATTTTGGTTGGGGTCAGGTTCGGGCAGTGGGCTTCGTGTTGTCCGCAGACTCGGGTCACAGACTTCAGGTCACTCTGACGCTCGGTGCGTAAAGACTAAAGTAAAAGTGTTAAAGTTGCGTTCATTAAATCAAAGCCTGGCTCCTGCTGCGTCCAAGGGAAGAGTTTTTCTCTCAGGTCGGGTCATTATTTCGTCCTCTGTGTTGGTCAGTCTGTGTTCTATAGAAGTCTATGGTCGCGGTGTGGACTGTGGGACTCTGCGCTACACCGAGTCCAGGAACAACTAGCATGCAAACACATACTTCCTGATTATCAGACAATAAAACTCCTCATAATTGGATGCAAAGAGAACGCAGCGGATAAAAAGATCTGTTGTAAAACCCCGGGAATTGAACCCTCTTTCTATGACTTTATATCAGAGGGGGGCCCATATGAAGTTTGTTGGCCCTGGGCCCTCAAATTTCTGTCAACAGGCTTGAATAAATCTGTATTGGGGCAAGACACATTTCGCTTAAACACATGAAAAAAGAAAGAATGTTTTGCAGGGACGTTTGAGTGTTTGATTTTTATGCAAACTAAAGCTTTCACTTCAAAACCTTTAAACCAAGTGCATTATCAAAATGAAAATGGTAAAATTCTCTCTTTCTCTCTCTTCAGCTGACAGCGCACGCTTTCTACTTCACTTTTTATTCTTTCCAGGACTCCGTTTCTCTCCCAAAGTGCAAATAAATACAATATAATAACCCCGTTTGACTCGTCGCTTTGAATGGGCCTTTTTAAACCGGCCACATTTAGTCCACTTAGTTCCATCGTTTCTCTGAAGGTCGGAAGCTGAGGAGAATTTTCCTGAATGTAATTTGCAGTTTTTTGATGGAAACTGAAAGATGTTTGCAGGACCCGGGGTTAATTCAGCGTTCAGTAAATGAGTCCTTTCGCTCGCAGAAGCCTGACCTTGGGAAGCGCTGGGAGAGCAGCTCTGTGTGGACGCCATTATCAACACTAAACAACTGTCACTTTGGTCTTAAACGATTCTGAATGAAAATGAAAACTTTAACGGAACAAATTTGAAAATGAATTTGAGTTTTGACAGGCAGCAACGAGGGACCGGTCAATGTCGCTGGAGTCAAACATAAAAGAGAAAAGTCATTATCTTTTTTTATTCTACACAGAATAGTTTGGAGTGAGTGAAAGTTTTTCTGATTTATTCAAATGTTTTTGTGCTTTAACATTTCTATGAGGCATTAACTCCTAACACGTAACACAGGCGTCTCCAACCTTCTGCCTCTGGTGGGCTGCCTTTACAAAAGGAAAATGCCAGAGAGCTAATCATTTCCACATTTGCATGAAATTGAGTCGATATAAGAGCACAAGCCTTAGATGGTACAGTTAGATGGCTTTAAAACAAGGACCATCAACGAGGAGAAAATTCAGTTTGT